TGATCATTTATGAATCTTTTGCAGGAACCAACAACTGATGAGGCACAGGAGCAAAGGCTGATGGGAGGAGGTCGTGCTGGAGGTCGTGTTCATCTTTTAGTCTGATAAAGGTGTTTTAGTCCAGTTTAGCTGTTGTCCACAAAAACTAAAGATATTGTATCATCATTTTAGTTGTTGTCACACATTTTAATTTTTATATATTCTAAATGTTTCAGACTTTTGACGGGTACAGTCAGTGGTGGAAATTAGCTAAGTACCTTTACTCATGTATTTCACTACATGTCAGAGACAAACCGTGTACTTTTTACTGCACTACATCATCAGACTCTATTGATCCTCAGTGGGAAACTTTGCCCTTTGTGTTGTTGCTACTAAAACACGTGTCACACACGATAAAGATAAAATATTATCATTGTTCTCAAACACAAATAAATGTGTGTGTGATGTAGCATTAAGACACGTCTACAGAGACAAACTGCCACTTACTGATCTGTCATTTCAATGTTCCTTCGCTGCCTGTGTCTTTCCACCGTGTTATGTTTTGTCATGTTTAAGCTCTGAAAAATCCTCCTCACACACACACACACACACACACAAAGTCCAGCAGTGACACATCCATCCTGTCGCCTTGGAAAACAGCTTCACATAATTACCTCGCCGCACCAAAAGTCTGTTTTTCTTTTCTTGCAGGAAATTGCTGTGTATCGCTGAAGATCCATTGAAAGCTTTGAACAAAGAGGAGAAAAAGCAACTGTGGTGCAGCCTGGATTCCTCCACACTCACACACAGACACACACACGTTGTCCGTTGTCTTCTCCTCTGTTATCAAAGCTAGCAGTGTGTGTTGTTGTTCTTCTGTGTGTGTTTTGTGGTGGCGGTGGAGTCGACACCCAGTGGGAGAGCCCGCCTGCCTGCGGGGGGACAGATGGGTGTAATTATGTTATTTTTACCTCCTCTAGGAGCTGGCTGCCAGCTCGGGGAAATTAGCATCACACCTGTGTGTAATTGGCTAAATTAGCTTGTCGAGCGGCAGAGCTGAGACAGAGGTGGACGGTGAGGTGTGTGTGTGTGTGTGTGTGTGTGTGTGGGAGGCAGGTAAAATCAGAGAGCAGTTGTTTAGTGTGTGTGTTGGAGAAGAGGCTGTCAGGGGAGCGAGCTGTCACACCTGGAATGGAAAATGTCACCCAGCAGCTCCACACACAAACACACACTCTGACACACAGTCACACAACAGAAAGATGCGTTAAAGGACAAATTGGAGGAAAAAGACACAAAACAAACAGCACACATAGACAGACAAACAAAAACAGAGGAAAACATAAATACACAAACTGAACAGAGACACAGAAACACAGCATTTCTCAGCAAATCTCTTAAATTGGTTTTGGAAAAAGAAGGTGTCTCTACCTGGATCGGGGGGGCACTGAAGTCTGCACAGACCACATCTGCACACATCTGTACAGTACATCCACAAAACTCAGCAATGAAAAGCTCCTGCTGTCGTCTCCAGTTGGATACAGACGATCGTTGGCAAACACCAGAGATGGTCCCGGAGAAGCAGCTACTCACTGCTGCAGGTGGAGAAGCCGACCTCCTGTACGGTAGATCTGCCAAATCAACTACTGGTGGTGGATCTGTGTTAAGGTGCTACAGGCTAAAGGCCAGGTGGTGCTGTCTGTGTCTGTGTGTCCATAAGGCTCCACGTGGTGTCGCCTGCCACGGTCCACACAGCACCCCAGGAATGCTACTGGGCTGTGAAGGACTTTTAGTGCCCGAAATTCAAAACGACAACTTGTGTGTTCATCACATGACACACACTGACCCACACTGGTCCTTAAAATGTGAAATGATGCTTTTTATCATCATAGTTTGATCCATTAGGTGCAGTATTATGTCTAAAGTAGTTGTAGGATCCCATTTCTGCCAATAGGAAGTCACCGGGCTCAGCTCGGCTGGAGAAGGACGCTAGTGATCATGTTCTATGGGCTCAGACATGCAGAGGCATGCGGAGTATCTGGGAAATGTTATGGCCAGAATCTAGAAGAATTTTATGCCACTGAGCAAATTTTACGGGAATGCATTGGATGCATGGGTGGAACGGTGGTTAGCGCTGTCGCCTCATAACAAGAAGGTTCTGGGTTTGAGCCCAGGCTGACCTGGGGCCTTCCTGTTTGGAGCTCTGTGGTAGACTGGCAACCTATCCAAGGTGCACCAGATGGCATGGGCCCAGCTTGTACCCACGGACTCTCAGCCAGTGCTGCATGTGACAAGTACAGTGGACACTTTTGTGCAGTGAACGTGTCCATGTATGTGTACCCCTGACTGAAGTAAGAAGTAAAGTGCATCTTAGTGCAAATGGAAACCATAAAGCAGTCTGCTGTGACAAGCTAGTGGAGGGTTAGTGACAAAACAAGATAGAGGTTTGTCCTAAAGACACTGTGAGCTGGGAAACTACGCACTTGATTTGGTTCACTCAAACTACTGAAGCTTCAAATGAAGTTTGGATTGTATTTTGAAAGTGCATAAAGATCTTTTAATGTCCGGTATGAACAGTAAGAACAACTGTAGCAAGTAAAACTGAAGATTGTATTAAAAGACACTTGAAAAGTTATGGACTTTTGTTTTAAAAGGGGTGATACTGAACCGTACTGATGGACTGTGTCGATGCCCTCTGGTCGGGAACCACTGGTCTCCTGTATAGGTTTTGAACAGATGGAGGTAAGGTTGGTTTATTAGCTTGTTTTAATGACAATTCAAAGTGCTTGACATAAACCATAAAAGGCATTGAGACAAGGCAGTACAAAAAACACGAGTTGATGAAAAAGACTTATATAAACCAGATTTTTAAAAATAATCTAAACTGAAATAACAGCAGATCCAGCTGGAGACTGAAAATGGCCGTGGAGTCTAAGGTATGAATGACAACAACCAGAAAAGTGTTCGACCTTGATTTATAACAACTCACAGGGAGGAACAACAGAAAACCTGATGATAATAGAAAATATTTTGAAAAATTAGCTTGTTGGTGTTAAACATGGAGAATTAATACATTTCTTTAAAAGGTCTGTTGTTTCTGTCCTTCACATCTGAAAATTATATGTAATAGTATATTCATTTATTCACTGGCGTTTGATCAGTTATGACTTTTAAAGGCTTTGTACCTTTTACAGTTGGCACACTGATTAAATGATGAAAGCAAATCCCTTACACAGAGAATATTATAAAATCAAGAATGGAAGACTTGTTTATGTTTTGGGCCTTGACTTCATGGACTTGGCCTTCACATGAGTGGACCACTCCTGTGACCGCTGACAAGAGGAAGCGGCCTCTGTAGGAGCATCCCTGATCTGTTGGCACCACCTAGTAGCTGTATGCTGTAACAGCAGCAGCTTGCAGCATCACCTTCCCGGTGCTGAACTGCTGAAGTGGGAGCTAGGAGTTCAGCTTTGCTACTGGTTGAACAATCCCGGTGAAGAGTATAGCTAACAGGGTGACTATCCTTCCACTACTTTTCACCATTTACACAGGACTTTAAAACTTTTAACTTGGAATCCGTCGCTGATGCTGTTTCTGCTTTAATGTCTGGCTATGTTTGTTTTTCTTCTGTAAGACAGATCTTGTTCTCAGTTTGACTAAATGGTTAAATGCAGGTTATATGTAATATCAATCAATGATCTGGGAACATTTTACTGCAGTTATGAATTAGCCAGTGAAACATTCTTTCATTAATTTTGTTCATGTATTTGCCACAAAATCCAGTTGTCGCTGAGGGATGTTTGAGTCAGA